AGGAATGTTTTTAGATGTCATGCCAATAACGTTTCTGCGCGACTGGACGATCCAAGATGTGTCGTAGAGTAAAGTCCCCCTACCTGCTTCTTGTTTCATGGGCAGTTTGAGGTTTTTTCATGATAATAAATCGTGAAGTTTATTCTTTAGAATCTTGTTCAAGGAAGTTTTATCAAGACAAATCGTCTGCAATTACATTGTTTGCTCCAAAACTTCAGTCCCTATCTGGAGTAAGCTGAAAACTTTTTTCCACTTTTTGAGACTGTAAAGGAGAATACCTACCAAAAGACGAGCAAAGAGTAAAAGCTGTGTTCTATGATATGTGAAGATGGTGTACTATCGAACTCCCATAGACGGTCGAAAGTATCATACAGAGTGGCATATATCTATGCGTTCCCTGCCGAAAGTGTTAATGATCGATCCACTTGAACCAACTTGAACCTGTTGGAGAGGTGTAGACAGAAAGAGTTGTCGTAAAGGGGCTTTGTCAAAAGCTAGTTGGCTAATCAACTCTTTCACACGTAGTTACATTTCTTTTACCGAGTCATATCGTAGTTCTGATCTGGAAACACATCTGTCCAAAGTTTGTCAATATACTGGGTCTGCATCTCTGTGAATAGCACTTTTCATAGTGTTCTTATTGTGTTCAGAAACATCACCCATTAACATACTAGACATAACATATCTGACTACTACTGAGAGGAAAGGTGGATGTGTGTCTGTCACACCGTGTTTGGGCTAGTTAGCCTTTGCATAGCAGAACCAGGGATCGATGTCGTCGTGTTGTAACGGCATGAGTTGAAAGTTCGGTGGCGCAAGAATCCTAATTTTGAGAATGTAATATATATATTTAAGAGAAAGATTATGTACGAACACAATATCACGTTATGCAAAATAACATTAACTTATAATATTACTATGATTTATAGATCATGACAAGGAATGGACTCATAGTAATTCGTTCAGCATAACAGAAAACACCGCGCTCATCAGTGAGGATGCCATGGATAGTCAGAAATGGATAAGCCTCTTTTTGGGTGACACTTTTTAGATGGAGAATACCTTTATGGCCAAATAAAGTTCCATTCAGACAAACGCTGCTCAAGCATTCCCACGACTGACGTACGAAGTAACGAGGGGACTGGACTAATATTTGTCAATATCTATAACGTCCTTGACGCCAACTCCTCAGCGGAAGAACATTCAGAGCATCTACACACCTTCTTTGGCTGTTTCAAAAGCGATTAAGTAGTCTTTAAACCTTCATGGAGTTGCTCATCTGATTTTTTTGGGACACCATGTTGACTCACACAGAATTAAGCAATTGGGAAAGAAGGTAGAGGTAATCACTGGCTATCCAGAACTTACTACAGTCTAAATGTTGCGACGATTCCTTGGTGTGTGTATTTTCAATCGTCAGTTCATACCTAATTATGTGACTATATCACAGTGTCTAACTTACTTCCTTGAATAGATAAAAAAGCACTATGGCGAGGTAGACATAGATTTTAGTTTCCCGCTTGAAGCCAAGTCAACTTTTCAAGATATCAAGTCAGTGAACGTGAAGTCTTATGTTAACGCATCTAGGCTTAAGCCGTTTAGCCCAAACGTTTTGTGTTTTGGCGCTTCGTCAACCTTGGTAGGGGCGGTTCTGAAACACCGAGTAGACGAGGAAATTATGCCTCTGGCATTTTCTTCCAAACCCCTGTCACCAGACGCACTACATTACCCTTGAACGCTAATTCTCGGCTATATATTTCGCAACAAAATACTTCATTTTCCTTTTATAGAGACGCTACTATTCTTCTGTCGTCTACGACTTTTGAACATGCATTAACCGTCCTTTCGCGACGAAAGTTTTCAGACAGCCAGTATTTCAACGACTTCATGAATTATTACATTCTGGAATACCAGCAGTCCCCAAGCTTATATCGGAACGATTTTTCTGGCCCCATATTGATGCTGTTGTCAGAAGATAAGCATGAAACTGCGTACAATGTCAGAGGACAATGGTTCATTGCCACAAAGTCACTTAGTTGGGCGAATTCGCGTAATTCGGTCGGTGATTTAAGCACCTAATTTCTAGACATTGTCGGCTCACATCAATCATCCAACTTCCTAAAAAACGTTTTTAACAATGTAGTTTTGTTTCTTAGATGGGCCACTGAGAAACCGACAAAAGATACAAATGTAGTGTCTATAGCCTCAGTATTTCTCGGTCTCTAGATCAAATAAAAAGTAGCCTACCATGAAATACCGAATGGCTTGGTTTCAGGACCTCACCACCAGCCATTATTTTTCAGGATAACACAAAAAATGGAGAGAAGTGTTACCTCTTATTCTATTTGGATTATGTGAACAGGGCAAGAATGAGCAGTAATGTTTTTTTGAGGGAACGCAGGCCAGTCTTGTATGTCTCTTGAAAACTCATCACCGGAAAAGTCGAGGTAAATTTGAACAGCGATTATGTGGTCTACAACGACTGTAGCGAAAAGAATATGTTGAAAGTTTATATTAAGTGTTTGATTGGACAGGATAGTTATTTTTCTGCTCTTTCATCATGTTTTGTATTTTAACTTTCACTTAGGACTGTTGTGATCATGTTTTATACGCCTCAGTCTCTTTTGTCTCGTTCATGAATGTTCGACTTTGGTGGGTAGTTAATCTTAGTATATGATTTCGCCTATGCTTGTTTAATTCCACCACAAATGAGGTCCTGTTTGAATAATCTCAGAGTTACAGTATGGTTCATCTGGTGACTGTTAACTATTAACGGTTTGCTAAAAATCCGTGAAGGTATAGAAATAACCCTATCTTGCTCGCAACACTCTTATTGATCCTCAGTTGCAGAACACTTATAATCATTTCGTTCTCTGTTTAGTATGTCTTTTTGTGTTGGAGAAACCACTGACCATATTGCTCACATTGAAACATTTGAGGCATTTTGTAGTTGTGAAACAGTTTGTTTTCTTCCCTGAGTTAGAATCAGGTAAGTTAGGCATAGGACTTGAGTTTTGATATGTTCTGATGTGAGTCACTTAAAACGACTCTGAGCTCTATATAGAACAACGTAGGCTATTCTGATCGAATAAACTTCAATACATTATCTCTAGGTTGGGACTGAATACTAGAACCTTGGTCTTCACAATGACTGTATAACTTGGATGTAATTATGAAAAACCTGAATACGTCAAATGTTTTTTGGAAGACTAAATTGTGACAGCCATCTCCACATATCTACCCATTGAGTCTCAAAAGATAATAATGAGAAAATAAGAGAGAAAGAAGGTGCTTCAAAGATGACACATGAAAATAACAATGTCGTTTTCTGAAAGGTATTGTGCGACCATATACATATGCATCTATAAATGAATATGTATTGATGGTGTGTTATACAAAAATGTACCGAGCAGCTGTTTGTTTGTTATTGAGTAATAAATAAAGAAAATATATTAGCTCAAAAAGATAGTATCTTTAATAAATTTGGATACTGTAATGAGAAGATGAAGATTATCAGAACTGTGTGACAACTACTGATGTAGTGTAATCATGGGTAGATGAAATCATAAATCTCCATACAAGTGTTTCTAAAGGTCTTCATATATTTACAGACAAGAGTGATCAAGCGATTAGTAACCTTGTGAATAACACGTGGATTGATATGGAACATATGATTATCTTCAATAGTCATAATGTACGGGAAGAAAAGCATAAGTCATCGGTGACTGGTAGGACTGTCTCTGTACAAGAAAATCCACAACACTTGATAAGCTACTTAACCAGATTTAAAACTGACTATATACACTTAATCAGTTGTTTCAAAAAATGCTTTTAAATGTTTTCTTGCGTGTAAAAACCGAGGAGAAAAGGGGGTTGCTATATGTCATCATGGAATGAAGACGTTATTTACGAAAGCGGTCGAAGCCCATCAAGGAAATTTAAATTATTCATCAAGAGATTTTGTTGTAACCAAAGGCACGTCAGTAGACCGTTGGGTGGTTATTAGAATAAATTTTGTTCACCGAAAGTCTATCTATTACCTACCCGTAGATCACTTTTTGAGGAAAGAAGAATCGGAAGAATACCTAAGTTCTACAGTCAGATACTAATGACGTTTTCGGCTTTGTTTGGCCAATACATGGAGCAGTATGTCATAAGTAGGAACAAACTTTGTGTCGTTAAAGGTGTTTTTCGCTTGCTTTGAACCATGGTTTTGAATTTATTTAGCAGCGCAGTACCAAGACAGAGACGAAGTTACCAAAAAACTTTAGACACTCAAATTAGTTGGTCGCAGGGATTTCAGAGATATCAAATTACGACAGTTTCACTAAGCTAAACATGTTACTAGTTATCGAAAAAGTGTAGGTGTAGAAGAAATCGAATTATGATCTTCAAGCTGCGTAAGCATAATTTATATCTCTTATTCTGAGTAAATAAGCACTGAATACTCATCAAGGTTATAAAACGCAAAATTTACTTACAGAACACCCTGAGAAATTTTTCGAGCTTAGCAAATACCAATAAAACATAGTGCAGGTGTGCATCACGTCAGTGAGCAGCAAAGGTGTAAATGTGACATGAAAATTCCCCAAATAATGGTACCTGTAGGTCGAAATTATTAATTCTAGTAAAAATTGTTACTGAAAATATTTTATATAAGTAGTGAGTGAACAGGCATTTTCTATTTAATAGTATACGCTTACATGACAGCATGCGTCCAAAAGAACAAGAATCGAGCGCAAATACATCAGTTGGTTTATACTAACTAGTGAAAATTATAATGGATATTGGATGTTATATCTGTCGCTCTGCTGTAATAGATCTTCCGGGAAAAATATAATTTGAACGAGCTTAAGAGTACCATAGGTAAGAAGAAAATAGAATCTGTTATTGTATGCTGCACTGGCTTGAAATGATTTGTAACTACTGGGGTTTGGAATTTTTCGCTTCGTTTTATTTCGCTGAAGTGTGACCTTGACGCTTTTTCATTTGGTTTTGTAAACGCGCTTAAACTCATTCTAATCGTAGGTGTATCTTCGGTTCCTGTAAGTCGGGTCTAGTTATTTTTTATAGTAAAATATACTATTCAACCGATACAGGTTGATGATTTAGATAGTTCCTTGAATTGGTTCAGCTTTTAAAATGCTCTTAGGCTTTCATTTACTTCAATTCTCGATTATCATAATTTCAGGACATTGTTCACTAATTTCTTTTTGATCTGTATGACGGTACTTTTCCGGTGATGTTTTGCTTCTTGTTCATTTTACAATAAATCATTGTTGGAGATCTAGACACATTCAACTGACCACCAACACAATGAATGCGAGGTGTTTGTATATGACGAATAAAATTTAGCTTTTTGGTTATCCGAATTCTTGATATGTATTATATATGTTTTTATGTGAGTTTTTTCAAGTAGTTGAAGTCTCTCAGTTTACTTGGATCTCGTCGAAGTATAACTGGACAACTTTCCCATAATGGATGTCTAATCTATTCCAAATTCCTATTGATTCTTAAGTGGGTGTCGGGTGATAATTTAAGCATACTTCTACTTTGGAACCCTTTTGTTAAATAATAGTGGCAACATGCACTCATTGATTTTACGCTGCTGTGTATGCTTACGGTAGCATTCTCAATGCGTACATAAAATTATTGGGTTGAGCACAATATTTATGAGGAATTTGGTTTTTAAGCTAATAGAATAGCTCTTGTGCCCCACACAGCTTCAATTTTATGTTCGAACCAAGTAAACTACCTTATTTCTCCCAGAATTCTATCGTTATGGTTAAATGGTGTGGTAGCTTCGACTAATTTACATACATTACATATTACTAACAGACTGAAGGATATAATTTCATTTCCTCAAGGAGGCGTATGCTATCTTAAGTCAGTAGATGAACTTTATAATTACTCAGTCCTGCACTTAAATATATCTTTTCACAAAGCACTATCAATTATAATCTTGTTCATATGAGTTCTTATCATTGAATCAAAGAACTAGCCTTTCTGAACCATTTACATAATCGAAGACACCAATCAAATTGCTTCCAGTACACTTTTTCAGCCATCTGATATTTAATTGTCTGTTGAAAAGCCATTTATCATTTTGTTTCATGCGATTTATTGTCCTCATTTTTTCATTACTGTTTCACTATCGTTAAACATAACTTAATAATACATTTATACCTTGTTGCAGATTTTAGCTGTACTTATCCATCTATGATTAAGACAGCTCATAGTGTTTCAAATCTGAATTCCAACTTGGAGTTGAGTCCGTCTGTGATTAAACGCACACAGAGTTCTCATTTTGTTCAGGTTAGTTACTAGATATGCAGCTTAATCCAATTTTTTTCTCATTATAGTGGTAATTTTTATTCCAACTTAGATTCCATTTTATTTGTTCACCCACTTTTTCACTTATTTTTTCTACTATCCTAAACAGTTTCATATTCCTGGGACGCACTGTATAACTTTCGGAATCAGTGCACGAAAGTCCTCACTTTCTGGTTTACATTTAAGTTCGCATTGTAGCGCTTAAGCTGTCTGGCACATTTCAAAGCAACTAAATTCAAGAAAACTAACAAGAAAAGACAAAAAACTACTAATAATTATGCTAACAATTATGAAAAAGCAGAAGAGTATGGACCTTAAGCACAAATGAGATCCGAGAGTGTAGGGCGTAGAGTAGTAATATAAGTCGTTGGGCTGCTGTAGGGTGTTTTGAGTCATATCACTCACAACATCCAATCACCGAAAACCTGCACTTTTTCACAACTCAGACCAACATTATTTATCTTCATAGACTGCTGTAATGTTTTGGTATTGTTGTTATTTGTATTTTCTTCATATAACCTTAAGATAGGAAGCATAAAGTGAGGAAGTAGGTAACTGGTACTTGTTTCTGAAGAGATCTTTTAACTTTGACTTTACTAAAACTTACTCTGTCACCAATGCATGATTCAGAAAAAGTAACGATTGTGCGTGGTTCCAATGCAAGTGTCCTTCATGTTTGTTTGGACCCATCAATGAACTTTTGATGGTAAGCATATTTATATATCTAGAGCTGACACCTATTGTTAAATTGTCTGGAGTGACGGTCGCCGTTTTTTGCTTATTTAAAATTGCTAAAGTTTCACCCGTGCTTTTCTGATTATTCAATTTGTTTACTTGGACTGCAAATAAGTGGGCTACAACATATACATCCGAGTGCTGAGCTCTCTGGATGAACTTCAGTACCCACTTAAAGCTCAGATAAAAACCACAAACAGAACGATATAAATCAATACCCTTTCGGCGTCTTACAGTTATATTTATTTGAGTTGCACTCAAGTAACTGACAACTGGGTTCCAGTTTAGAACTCAGTGGTATATTTACTCGATATACTATTAACAGTTTCTGCGAGAATGTCTGTTATCCACATATAGAATATTTAATTCTTATCAGCACACCGATTATCGCGCTCGACATCACGAAAGACAACTACAGCATATGGTCCCAACGATAGTTCCCTGTTATGGAAGTTAATCATAAAGTGAATGCTCTATAAAAAAGTATTAAATCGATTTGTCTGTTAAATCACTGACAAAAAATGGGTCGGATGTGAATTACGATTCATAAAAAAGTTGCTTCACAACAAATTCTGCATGGCATAACCTGTAACTGACGAACCAATGTAAATATAAATACTGTCTTCACCCTATAATGTAAATTCTCTTCAAACTTTCTTAGGTGTGATAATTTGTTTTACAAAATTTGTTATTAATTAGCCTTTTATTATTTGTCATGAAAAGATGTTTTGGAATCGGTAAACCAATGGATGATATACTCCAATCGACTGACAGTATTTAGTGATGCAATTTAGTCGATTGATCGCTGCGCACGAAACGAAGTCACTGGTGTAGGCCCCTTAAGTGAATTGATATCGAAGGATAGTTACTCAGTTGAGTAATTTTCTAACAATATATGAAAAATTCTAAACACAAGAATAAGTATGGTTCATGATTACTTACAAAAATAATCTATTAGAAGATATGGCAACTATAGATCATTCACCTTTCAATGGAGTTATTGTTTATCAATCAAGCTTGATTTTTTCCTTGTTCACTTGTTTAATAACACAATAACACTTGTAGTATTACGAGGAAAAATCTTGAATTATGTATGTAAATACATAAATGATAAGATTTGTCATTTATAGTCACAAATTAGGTGTGGCATTGTATTTTCCTGATCTTATGATTGGTAGTTTGTATAGCATGACTAAATATATATTGTAAGATGAGTCACAATTTCGGGTGTGTTTGATGCATATATACGAGTCGACATTGTCTCGCCTTTAATTATCAATAAATAATTGAGTGGAAATCATGAACATTAGTCGTAGTTTATGGTCGACGTTACTAGAATTAACAACTCCTAGTAAGAAACATACTGAATAAAGTAATTATCATTTGTTTATCACTCGAATGCAACAGTCATAGTGTGAAATCCGGATGAAATTATTGTTCAACTTTAAATGAATATAATTTATTATGGTCATGTATATAAGACCACCGCCCGGTCTAAGTTACTTAATATTGTTGTTCTGAAATGTATAGACATCTTAGTTACCATATAAAATGTAATTTTAATGTATGGTTGGATATTCTAAATAACATAACTCCAAATCTGTCTCAATAGCCATAAACCACTTATATTGTTGTTAACCTGCCTTACAATCCATAAATTAATTAGCGCATAAGATCTTTGTTTTTTTTTTACTTTCCCAAAAATACAGTTTTTTTTTGTTTCGTCCTGTGAGTATCGATGAAGAAGAATATGGTTACTTGTGCCCGGTGCATTTTGCTTCTATCTGCTGTTCTATGTGCATTCGTTTGCTACTGTTGTGTTTTCCTCTTGAAGATTTAGTTTAATGCTATAGGTCGATGCTTCGGCTCATGTTTTCAGTTGAAAAAACAATAATTTAATGCGACATTAATTATGTCCATATTTTCTCGGAAATAATTAATATCGAGAAAAGTTACATTTTACCCAAACCATTGCATCATCACTTGCAATTTTATTCGTAACAGTGGCCGAAAATTTCCCCTCGATGCTGAATATCCAAAACCATCTTAATGTGGTTTATGTGTTACCTATGACTGGTAGTATATTATGTTCACTTTTGTTATTGTTGTTGAATTGTTTAACAGTATACGATTATCAATTATACAACAGCCAATGCTGTGTAAAATAATAAAATTTTTAAAAAACTCAAATTACTTCCCAACGTTTAAGTTCAAGAAATTAGAAAAAAATCGGTGTTGGACTTAAATTATGCACAAAACTCGGTTCATCCATCAACTGTTGTTGTTTTTTTTAGATGATATTTATCTTTGAAATCCTGTTTTAGATTGATTATTGACATCTATGTGGGGACAATAAGCGTTAATCATTGATAATACCACCGATTTCTTAACTTGTTTGTGTAGATTCATTGTTTCCTTTTAGTTTTTTTTTATGTATGTAGTATTTTTAAAAGAAATTTTTTATCAATTTTATATTTTCAGATACTTGATGAATCTATGTGTGTTGTTCGTGAAGATCTTACGGAATGGTTACAACGTTATTTATTTTCAACTGCTAATGCTTGTCCCATAGCTGCACATTATTTACTTTGTCGTTTAGCATCAGGTCTATGGCTTTCTAGACTAGCTTATAAATTACATTATTCAATTTTAAAATCAGGTTATGAAAATGCAATGAAAGCAAAAACTTTATCAACATCAATACATAAAAATAATGAAAACAATGATAATCGTTCATATGAATTTTTAAGAGGTGCAGTATCTAATCGTGACTTAAAAAATCTTACCCCACTGTCATTACCATCATTTCCGTCTACATTAACTGATTGTGCTAAATTACCACTTGGTCCAACTGATCTTTGTTCATTTTCATCACCGATTCCTACGTATGAACATGATTCAGATATATCAAATTTTGATGTGGATTTTCCCAAAGAAAATATTTCCATAAAATCTCGTGTTGCTGATCGTTGGATAGCTCGTGATAATGTTAGTGCATTTATTAAATGGTGTAAAGATTTGGGTGTACCAGAAACAATACTATTTGAAACAAATGGATTGAGTAAGTTTGCTAATTCATATACAATTATGTATGATTAAACTGAGTAAAAATATTCACTACTGATAATTTAAAATCATAAAAGAAATATCCTACTTAAAACTACTTTCTCAGTCGGACAGAACCATTAAAAATGCTTTTTTCTAGTAGTTTAGAGCTAGGTTCATGAATTATAGACAACTACTGAACATTGAGTAACAAAGTGAAGTTGTTTTGCCTTAATTTTGGACTAGGAAACAGTGAATATTTGTTTTGGATTAGTGGTCAGATCTTTCAACCGCTGCTTATCTCTAATTGTGTACAGTTTAGAATCCAAACTGGTTTAGTCTTTTCACAATGAGATATTTATCCTAATCAGCTGATTCCACTTATTGAAGTGTTCAATAAAAATATGACGTTAATCAAGTTCGAGTTGCGAGCAAATTAATCTGTCACTGAAGTCGAATGTTTTTATATCATTCTGTTAGAATGCAACAACTTAAGCCTCCAACTGAGAATTCCTTTCTACCTAATTGCTTCACTATATTTATTTGCATAATATGACCACATATTGTTTTTTACTTAGTCAATTGTTGTAACAAATATTATGGATTCTTTCGAATGTGTCTGTTTATCTTTCACTATCTTCACGACACTAATATTTTAGTTGGCTTTAAAGTTGTTTATTTATTATTAAATTCTTGTATGTTTGTTACTCACCATGATTACTCAGAGTATTGATCAAATGTAGGATTGACCTTTATTGATTAATTTGTTGTAGAGGGCGTTTATAAACTTTGAGTTAGTAGTGAATTATTGGATTATTTTTAAAACTAATTTATACAACATTATGTTGAATTCACTAGCCAATTTTTTGTTCTTTTTTATTTATTTGAAATGCAAATTTTTGCCGTGCTTATTATTTATTCATCACGGGATTGGGCTATATTTAATCCTTGTTATTTTGATAACGATTCAGCCAAACTAGTGTTTTTTGATTTAGACGTATACCTATTTATTTAACGTGATGGCATTGTAAATATGGACCGTATATCTTCGTTGTGTTATTAATATTCCAATTCGAAAGACTGTTATAATAATAATAATAATAATAATAATAATAATAATGGCCTTACTCAGTATTATTATATGTTTAATACAACATAGAATTCTCAGCACTCAATATTTCAACACGTATCTTTCATAATACCAACCAAGAAAAAGCAGCTCATAACAGCACATATATACACATTAACAGAAATAAGTAAATAAGCTATTCGGATTTTAAGTAAGAAATTTACTTTCTAAATTGAGTTTTGTGATTAATTATTAGATTGTTTCATTATAAAAATAAAACAAGTGACATTTTATTTCTTTAAATCCGTCGAAATAGTGTTAAGCAATTTTACAGGAGCAACTCTCAAATTTTAGGCTTGAATCATTATTAACAGAAAGTTTGGATTCGTTTTAGTTTGCTTAAAAAAATAATTCTGGAAATAAATTTTTCTTGCTGTCCAGGAAATGCTCAAGAAAACTTGACAGATCCAGTAACAGGAGACTATAAAGTTAAAGAGAATTTCAACAGGCTTTACATTAATATTCGATTGCCTACTTATCATTTACAGCTTAAATAAAATATTAGTGCTGGTCCCTAAACTGGTAGATAAATTCACAAATTAGTAAAGGGATTTCAAACGGGTATAAGAAACACACTCTGACAGTTTACTTGAAGAAAAGTACTTCATGCATTTGATTATTGGTGCAATAAAAATATGGTTTTCTTATGTAAGTAACTTTGAAGTTTTCTCTTGACCAGAGAACAAAATCCTGTCAAAATGATCCACTTCAGCTACAAATGTTTTCCATCATTTCAACTTTGAAGTCCATTGTGAAATTTTATAGGAACAAAGCTAGTAAACTGTCACTAGTTAAAACGATTGACACATGTCTTAAATTGTCGATCACGATATCACAACAGCGACTCATAGTAGTATTAAAGAATCAAATCAATGAATGTTTGTCTGAGTACTATAGTTTTTTTCTGATAATATCGTTCAAATGCTAAATATTGGTTATTGTAAACTATGATTATTTTCTACTCAGAATAATTTTGCAAATTCTTAGTAGATTTGTTTATTTATTTTTGATAAATTGAAAATTGTAGCCTTAATTGTAAATAAATATTTTTTTGCAGTATTCAACAGTATACATCATGTGACAATATTTTTAGAAGTTTGTAGAATCTATCATTTAAAGTGTAAATTAAGTGTACAAAAGCACTCTGTACTTTATGTAACAGTGAGTTTGTGTTGTTTTTGCACAAAACTCGATTGCTATACATCTATTTATCAATTGGCCTAATATCTAAATCACAAAATAGTTTTCTATACTATTATTACTGTCTGCTTGAATCAAATAGTCGGTTTTAAGTTGTTATTATCATCATCGTCAGTCAACTAGATTCAAGCTACATTAGGATATTACTGATTTTATTTGTTTAAATTAAAGTCAGTTTAAAAAAGTTCACGTGAAGAGTAGTAGTGTAGTGAAGGAGAACACAGGTGAGGGCAACCGAATTGTATTTAACGAAAATTACAGAGTTACTCAGTAAAATAGGAAAACCATATCGTAACCGTTAATTTCCAAATCTTCAATCAATCATCAATCCATTGTCTGACATTTCACTTATTCATGCGTTTCATACAAATTCCATTGTGTTCCCACTCTTCCTTTCTTGATCTTCCCCCATCTTCTGCTGCCAGGCATTACGTTTACACTCACGTCATATACTACTTATAAGTAGCGCGCACCACAGTAGTAGTTCAGTGGATATTTAGTCACTGAATCATTGACTATGTAGAATTCAATCTTCGATGTTTGAAGTCAGGCAGTTTGATTGATTTTTACTTTGTAAATGTAACTTTCAGCTCAGTTGCATAAATTTATGTAAAGCTTAATGACGATCTAATTGAAAACAATATTGTTCGCTTATATGTGTTGTTTTAATTTTCACTATTGGAATCTTTAATATTATAAATTTATGTCTTAGTAATAAATTATATACATAGAAAGTGTTATCAATTTTTGTTAGTGACTATTGTATGATAGTGAAAGTTTTATTTCATTAATATCACTAACCTATCTGATTTAGACAACCATTAAGAACTTGGAAGCAGTGCACACAGCTATTCCATGGACGTGCACTTTTCATAAGTCATACATCAAGAAGAAATAACCGTCCAGTTCTTTAAGATTTTCAATGCTTATAAAACCTAGATCGGTTCATCATGCCAATATACTGTGAAGTATGTGTTGTTCTCACTGATGCTGGTCTTATTTTCATTCTTTTCTTATTTAACTTGATAATCTTATTTTACTGAGTAATAACCTGAAGCAATATACATTTGCACTAGATTAGATTCTACGTTAATTACAATCAACTGATATTTAGTTGATAATTAATAATTATGTAACATAATTAAACTTTAATGAAATTGAACTCAACTAGAGTTTACGATGAACCAAAAGTTCTTTCTTTCTTTTTTTACTAAGGAGAATACTATAAATATGAAGTTGATTGAAAACTCACGTGACAGATATTTATATATATCTTTAAGTTGCTTTTAAAAAGATTCAGTATATGGTTACATTGGTGAACTCTATAAAACTATGATTAATTTGTATTTGAGATAGAAAATAAGACAAGAACGCCATATGCACACACTACTGGCACTACTCTATAAATTATGCCCGTTGTTTGCGAAGAATTTATGATGTTACTTGATTATTTAATCTTTAAGAAAAATCAACTCACTAGTTAATTGCTTCAAATGTAAGAGCAATGAAGCACATCCTTTTAAGATATATATTTAACGTCAAGTCGTCTACTCTTATCTTGACTATGTTACTACTTAAAATTCAGTTATTTTCTTATAAAACGTGATTATTTTCATGTTTTACAATTATAAATGGTTATGTATTCACAATTATTAAGACTATCGATTCTTATTAATAAGTGGTACTACTTAAGCAAACAACTATTTAAGTGCTGATAACAATACACCTCCTCAGAATATTAATTCTTTGATTCTCATATGTTGGGTAATGAATAATTCAGGTATTAATTACTTGGTTTATCTTATTGTGTTCTATACTATACAGTCTATCATAATTATATGTTATTTAACTTCACCACACATTGATTCACATGAATAACAATAAAAGTACATTTTCTTTTTGCATCAAAAATACTAACTAATCGTATTATTTCTTTTTCCATTGAGAATATTCACAAATGTAATGCATATTACCTTTTGTTTCATGATTTTAATAAATTAGATAGTAGGAAGCGTATTAAAGATGGTAGGCGAAACTACATTTTTTTTTTTATAAGGAAAGTTTGCTTTTGTTGTTGTTGTTGTTTTGCATGCTTTAGTAACCATGGTTGATTCTGATTTTACATGCAAAAAAAAAGAACGACGATCACAAACAATGATACCTGCTAAATTAAGAAAAAAAAAGAACGACTAATGTTTTTGTCATTAATTTATGTTAAAAATACAAAACCGATTTATTTATGAAGACAATGATGTCGTCACATGTAACAAAAATTGGTAGAATCTGTCAAAATTAATCATGTTATACAGAGTGTACAAGTGAAATAAATCATAAAAGAATGTGGTTTTTTTTAATTTCTCATCAATTTTACATGACTACTTCATTCAATTGTATACTGACAACATCATTAGTTAATGTTGCAGATGAGTTCTACTTGCAAAAAATAATATATTTCTTGATGTTTTCATCTTTCTGACATCTTATATCTTAATGAAAATGTCTTTATAGTTGGTTACATTAATTAGTACTGTGACAAATCTTTTTTTTAAAACAAACTGACCAATCAGAATAAAGATGATGTAGTTTACTGCGTCTGTAAGAAAAAGTAACTTGAACATTATGATTAATTTTATTAAAGGGTATATTTATTTTTAAATGGTTGAAGATTGATAAGAAATACTATTTTCATGAAGTGGTACAACAAAGTAAAGATCTAGAAATTAAATGAAAATTCTAACCGAAACACAATTTATTCAAAATTCATTTGTTCCTCGTTTGTTTAAAATAAACTTTCAAGTAAATGGTATCAGTTGTAATGCGTACATATGTCTAAAAACTTTGAAAAAAGAATATTCGTTTTAGATCATTACATCACAAAGTCATTTCATGAAAAAATGCTGACAAGTCGTTGTATAAATATTATAAAAGGAAAATAATATTATAATTTTACATATAACAATGTTTATGAACAGACTATATAGCATGCATGTGCTTCTGTAGAATTAGTCCTTTGAATTGAAATTAATCTATTTTTTAGATTGCAAAAAACAATGTTACAGATTATGAAAACTCATACATTCAAAGTTTGATTGTTTTCATAACATTCTTGATGTGTTGACTATTAATTTACTCGGTGGTCAATAAGTGGCATCGAAATTTCACGATAGTTATTACTACGACAATTCACAAAGTGTGCATCTTGCCATATTAAACCTGGTTTTTACTAAATGTGAACAACACTTCAAGTTAATGGGATAAATATTGTACTATACAAAAGAGAACAGTAATTTCTTATGTAATTTTGTTCTTACTTTGTTTTGATACTTTATCATTTGATAACTTTTCTTTATCCCACTTTTTTTTATCTAACAGGAAATATTTTTTTTTAAAATAACATTTTTTTAGTGAATAAAACTGAAGAGAAAAATGTTTTACTTACTCTAATGGAAGTTGCACGTATTGCAAGTCGTTACGGTCTCACTGACCTGCCTTATTTAGTTCGTATGGAACGTGAAATCGACGAATTGGAAGCAAAACATTCACAAGATCAAAGTGACATGCATCATTTGTGTCATAATAATAATAATAATGACACAAATAAAAATCATTACAGTACTCATGGAGTGATTAATTTAGAAAGAATTGATCATGAAAATCGAAAGTCAAAATCTCACAAATCTTCTCACTTCAACTCAATTCCTGACGATAAACGCATGAATGGAAATTCTGTAAGTTGTAACTTTTATAATATTTTATGTAGTATTATAGTTCATTTACAAACTTTATTCAGATTTACATAATTTGATGCATATTATATGTGTACTTATGAAGTTATCCAATTCCTTAAACTTGTGTGTAAGTGGACCGTGTTTCGAAATTGTCATATATTGTGATTTTTTTTTTAGTTGCTAATTTTGTACAGTTGATGTAAAAAAATGTTTGTAAATATTCTTTTTTTTTAAGATTCATGTTTTCAAAAGAAAAGAAATCAAAATCTTGCAAGAAATACCTTTCTCGTTTGTGATAATTATAAATTCTGTCATGAAGATTATTACTACTCATCGTTTACATGTAATAAGTAGTAGTTTACAGTTTACTGTTCTATAAAAAAAGTGTTACTTCATTGAAAATAAATCCATTTCTCTTTTCTTTTGATTCGTTTGTTTTTTGTTTGTTGAATGATGAATTTTTTTTCTGTGTGTGTTGTTGTTATGTTTTTATGCTGACATAAATGACATCGATTCTCTTTGATTGAAGAATAATTTCACAAAAAATAAAATCTTTGTATTAAAATGATTCATTTTTAACTTTTCTAATAATAGTAAATTAATTGAATTATTATTATCGTTATTATTATTATTATTACGTATTAAATGACACATAATATGCTCATCAATATGAAATATACAGGTTTATCGATTGTGAACATATATTAACTAGTAAATTAACCTGATATTGATAATTATAGTTAGCTTAGTGTAGTTGTGCATGTGTGCATGTGTGTCTGTTTTTTTCTTTATCTAACTAATTCATTTACATGTACTTGCATAAAAAATGATTTAATATCATGTGTTTATTTGTTTAGTAGAAAATTTATCATGCCATTATCTACATTTTAATAAAAAAAAAACGAATTAATAACAAGGATTACTATTCGTATTTCAAATATTTAACAAGTGACTGTTAATAATGAACTTAGTAAATTTGTACAATGTTCAATATAAGCTGGTCATCTTATGATGAGTTTGTTAGTTTGTTATTGAATCTCTTCAATAGGGGGGGTTGCTGTATCTTTGTTTGCTCGTTTTGTACACCATATCAGAATAAAATCATGGGAAAATGAATCTTGGAATTATTATTTACATTAACAATCAATTAATCTATAGTGATTTTCGATTGATAGCAAATTTCATTAGGTTCATGAATTGATTAGTGTTAGACCAGCATTAGAAACCTGGAAGCACTGGACGGCTGTTTTGGCCTAGTATGGAACTTATCAGCAGTACGCATCCACGACCCAGCAAATTGTCAATACAGAGTCAGTCAGTCAGTCAGTTACAACATAGAACTTGGTACGTACGTACAGCAGTTCAAGTCGCCATACTACAATAGCACAGAGATCAACTCATCAATGCAAACCCCATATTAGTACATGTAGTAGAAGTATTAGCAGTCATAAAGCAGATAACGGATCAAAGATACGATTTAAGAAGTATAACTCAGTGAAATAAAGTTAAGGAAAGAAGAGAAAAAAGTTCATGAGCAGTTCAAAAGATGATAATTTGAGAGAAGACAAAGAGTAGATGTATCTTCGCCATTGCAAACGATTTTGAGCCATTTCATTCAAAGTCTCGATAAGCATCCGTTACTGCTGTCTTGTGCACCTATTTAATACAGAGAAAATCACCTTGATGTATTTATTAGTCAGTTGCTTCGTCCATAATTTAAATTTAATATTGAAATTGTCAATATCTATGTGTTAATTATTACATTGAATTAAATTCTGTTAAATTCTTAATTACAATTCTGTTACCATATAATAATTTGATTTGATTTTACAATGGTAGAAATTCTTTCAAGTCACATAGTATATGGGCGTTTTTATTTATTTTACTTTTTTCTCTTGTCATCTATAAATTATTCCTTCATGTTATATAATAAATTAGGCGTTTTCATACAGTACAAAAATAGAATAAGGGCTTTTTTTTTATAAAAAAAATGTTTTTACAACATTTTGCCTAGTTATCCTCCATTGTGTACTTAGGCGTGAATCATTCATTGTCATTTATTATCGGTGATCATTACACCCTGAATTCGTTAAGATGATGAATGCCTTCATTAATTTCCTGTTTATAAACAATTAAATTTTTTTATTTATTAGATACTATTGTATTTTCTGGTGGTTTATTTATTCTTGTTGGTTTATGTCAGCACGAAAACAGAAGACTCGATTGGCTTTTGCCAACTTTTGTCACCTATGGCGTAGGCGATATATCCGTTTGCTATCCAAAAGAATGAATCTACTTTGCCGTAGTTCGCTCCGTCCTACTATATAGACGCGAAACCTTGCCAGTCAGAGTAGGAGATATTCAGAAGCTACTGGTATTCGATCACAGATGTCTTCGAAGGATTACTCGTATATCGTGGCACAACCGAGTAAGCAATGTTGTCTTTAGGAAACGAGTACTAATTAGGGAAGATAAATCAATAGATGAAGTATTGAAACTTCAGTTGAGGTAGTTAGGACATGTGTTGTGTATGCCTAACCATCGACTGCCTCGACGAGCTATGTTTTGTGGTGTAGCAGTAGGCTGGACGAAAGCTGGGGGAGGCGAAACCAAAACATGGCGGAAATCCATAAAGTCATTGGCAAGTGGAGTAAATCATGTTGGTAAGTGTCGACTACCTGGTTGGGATCCGCGAGACGATAGTAAACGATGGTTAGAGACCCTGAAAATCGTCTGTAATGGTGCAAGTGCATCTCTTAAATTCTAACCTTCTGAATTCCTCACCATCTCTATGTTTCTCTTTCTTAAGTTATCTCATTGAACTATGCTTCTAAAATCGTATCTTCGAACCCTGATCTTCTGCATTACTGTTAATACTTCTACTATCTCTATCACTCTTGAATTTGAACTGGCTGTTGCGTTTCTGTGCTAATGTGGTATGGTAACCGGAACTTATGTACTTACGTACAAAGTTCTACGTTGTAACTGACTGATCGACTGTTGGTTTATGTAAACTAATAAATTCTATTTCTGTTATGGTTATTTTAATGATTTAGTAGATAACTAGCTTTTGGACACTTTTAAACTATCGTCATCAAAATCCATCATAGTTCGACACAATTCCAACAATTTTGAATTACTGTTTTTGTTGTAGGCAGTTGTAACAGGGTTCTGATAAAAAAAGTTGTATTCCACACACCTATTCGAGACTAGAAATCTCTAAGCATTTTGTTTATATCTAGTGTTATATATTTGAGTATATTTATTATGACTTCTAGATAGTCTTTGATATAGTCTCGAGGAAGTTTCTTCGTTTTTATTAGCTATAGCCCTAAAAAATATACATCAGTCCTAGGCTCTGTAGTTGGTAGTGTCTTGGGAGGGTATTTCAGAGTTAATCAAATTTATTCAGTATTACAATGTAAATAAATAAAGAAAACATTTATTCGCCGTAGTTTTTTTCCTCGGTTTTGTCTGAGTTAACGTAAACAATAAAATCCTTTTTTTTAATTTGGTTCTACTGAACATGTTTACTATTGTCTAATAAAATACCGGATGCCCGCATTTTAACTTTGGACTATGAGCGACCAACATGTGCATTGTGTCGATTCCATATGTTTTCTATTAAATATATGGTAAAGCAAGCCTACTAATAGTAAATTGTCTTATCGTTTGGATTTAATCATAACTATAGCTTGTATGATTAAATCTTCACTACGTATATATATATATATATATATATATATATCTTGAAGCGAAAAAAAACTTATTGTTAAGATAAATTTACTATAAAACACTAATGTTGTCGAAATTTCAGTTTTTCTCTATTTAGGGTGTCATTAGATTTTGAGCTATAGATTGTTATGATAAATTTCACAATAAACCATTCATAATAAACATGGTTCTCGACACGAATAAGAGGCGATTTTAATTGCCATACCACATTGGCACAATGAGATTAAATGAACAAGATAAATAGAAAAATGAGTCGCAATAATACCACAGCAATAATTATACGAAATACTAAGCCTGAGAAATATGGTTTAGAGATATATACAAATCTAAGGTATAATGAAGTACTTGAACTTAAGAATATAAAGTAAGATACAGAGTAAACTCAAGTATTTTGTTGTAATTGACATTAAACCATAACGCCCCTATTGATCGTGATTATGGCTTGAACCTCAATCAGGTGATCTACATTTACCATCATAAAACAAGCCGACAGTTAATGAGCTAACGGACTGATACCATAAGTTAGTTTGATCACTTTAAGCTTTCTTCCCACCACACTGTTTGTATTAGCATCAAAATCACCTTTCATGGTAGGTAGTTGATGTTGCAAGATTCTTCTTTACATTGACTGTTTAATGTTTTTATTAAGATTTTACTAACTGATTTCTCATTCGTTTTTTTCTCTTGTTTTCTCCACAATTCTAATTGATTCACAGTCTGAAAGTCAATCAATAGACAAAAAGAATAATGATAGTGCTGTACAAACGTCTACTGATAATCGAGATATTTCTTGTGATTATAATATATCATTATTATCAAATCATTGTTCACAAAATGGGGATACTACAACTAATACTACTACTAATACTACTACAACCACTACTAATGCTACGAATACAATCAATTCTAACTCACATTTAATAAATGCAAATGGTATGTATGATAAGAATCAATGTAAACTTTGTCGAAATAATTCTTCTCAAGTAGATGATCAAAATTCTGCATGTCCTCATCATTGTCACGATACAGACAATTCAAATTCGGCTAAACGTTTACGAGCTTTGAATAATTGTTCTCTTATGTCTTTAGAAGATAATAATAATAACAATAATAATAATGATGATGATAGTTTGAACAAGGTAGTGGGGACAGATCAATTTGTACAACAGCAAGTAAGTGTACACGTTTTTAAATTTATTGATGGATCTACCTTTTTTCTTAACTCTTGTTGTTGTTGTTGTTGTTGTTGTTGTGGTTGTGGTTGTTAGTGCAAAAGCTGCTGTACAGCAAAACATGATTAATCCTTTGATTGTGTTGTAATTAAATCGTCATTTTTTCTTATTCACTTCGTTGTATACTCTATACACAGCTTTATGTGTTGTATTGTTTATTGCCGATAATCTAAAAACAAAAATGCGTGCACAGAAAACATATGATTTTCATTTAATTTAGTAAATCTTTTACAATAATTTTCTTTTTTATTAATTGTTTGGGTATCAGTTTATTGAGAATGAGTATGGTTTTTAATTTATTTAAAGATGTTATTGCTTATTTATAAGATTTGTATTTTATGTAGTCCTAATATGTTCCACTTTAAATTTCCTGGTTGTAAATTCACATATTGTATACTTTAAGTGTATATGTCTTGATCATCTAATGTAATGTCCTTATTGAATAAGGAAAAAAAAACTATTTGAGGTGTATTTTGTTTCATAGTACCTAATTGCCTTCAAAGACATTGATGTCCCTGACATGAAACTATCAGCCATTGATTACTACACTCATATAGACTCATATCGGATAGGTTTTGTTTTTGAGAACTGGATAATAACGAGCAGTTTTTTTCTTAATGGTTCAAGACTCTTCACATTCATGATCTGGATAAAGATTTTCGAACTGAGCGGTTAGCATAAGGATTCATTGAATATTCCAATATACTAGTCCGTATTTAGTTTATGAGTATTATGATTATTTCCTTTTGGAGCTGAAAATAAGTTTAAACTGGAAATTTTCATAGAGAACTGATTTATCTGGAACAAGACACATTCGTTTGGAATTACTGGCTTTCAGGAAGATTCAACTTTATCTGTTTAGTGAGTGTTGGAAATATATTCGTATATTATTTTGATAAATACGAATGTATTATTGTACACTGCTAAACTGTGTACTTTGTTTTTTGTAAAATATTAAATACAAACAAACTGAAGTGTAAATTTTTCTTATAACTTGATACTGTTAAATCGTTAAATTTTTACCCGAAAATTTTTGAAATCTATTTGTTTTTAAATTAAGAAAGCTATTTAGTATTCGCAGAAGTCTTTTACATATGTGCAAATTTCGTGTTGTGCCCAATTTTTTTGAGTTGGGTAAAAGTAAATTGTGAGAATTTTATTCTTAATGTGTATACCGTGGATAGAACGAACGTGAAAATCCTCCAGTGAAACCACTCAGCTCAGACAAAACAATCATTCATAGGTTGATCCTAGTTGGACAATCGTTGAAAATTAGAAAGCGTTGAATAGGTGTTTCGTTCTAGTACAGAATATCGCAGTAGTTCACAGGGAACGTAAGTATCATGGTGAACACTTGACTTTAAATCAATGAACTAACATTGAGTGGTTCTCATTAATTACTTACTCCTGTTACTCCCAATGAAGCATAGACCGCCGACCAGTATTCTCCAACCTACGCTGTCTTGAGCTTCCCTTTCTAGTTCTGTCCAATGTTTGTTCATTGTAATTTGTTTCCTGGTCTTCCTCCTTTCCCTTGACCTTGAGGGTTCCAAGCGAGGGCTTGTCTTGTGATGCAGTTTGGTGCTTTACGCAATGTGTGCCCCATCCACTTGATTCACATGCCTAACTTCAGTTAATTCGTAACATTGCGCAACCATCTCTCAATGGTATTTTCGGATAACTGACTGACACCCAACATTACCTTGGTCGCAGTTTCTCACTGGAAATCTGAAAACTGCCTTTAGAAATAAGTTACTAATAAACACCCAAATCTTATACTAGGATGAAACAGCTTTCCAGTGCTGTTTGATTTTCAAAGGTTGCCTAAATTAAGGTCAGTCCGATGTAAACTAAGCAATGTAACAACCTCCATAACTCTGCCTCCCCTTTACTAATTATAAATTCATCCCTTTTATTATTTTCGTAAATTGTGAATCTGTTAAATGCGATCTCTTTTCAAACAAAAATTACAAATTTCTAAACTATCCTGTAATGGTAACATTTGCATATTTGTTACTCGTCCACACACACCCATGTGTGTATACACAGCTTTTTTTTTGATTTCATTTAATCTACACCAGATGGTACTCGTTATTTGCCCACCAACGGTTAGTAATATATATATCATTCAAGTTTTTGGGATAGTAATTTCCATTAGGATTGTTTGAATTGTTATTTTATAAACTTTCTATAAATCATTTGGTCTAAAATAAAATGTTCTATGTTTCATTAGTTCTTTTATATAATAGATTTCAATAGTTTATGATGTATTCAAAATTATTATTTATATATATTTATTTATGGATGATTATTATTTCTTATGTTATTACAATCATTTACTAATATATAATGGCTGTTATTTGGTGTTAACCACTGTGTTGTTATTCAATCATATCATCAGTTTAGAGATCGCACATTTTACTGGAATTTACTTGTTATTTTTTTTCTTTCTGCCTTTGCATAGAATCATCATGGCATTGTTGTTATAAGTTGGCTTGTTTGCCTTTCATTCTTTCGTAATAAAATACGCTGTTTGACATTTTCAAGGTGTACAATTGTGTATATCAAGTCTAACCTAATCACAATTCAAATGGAATATCTCCAAGATGTATGATGTGTGTTTTTTTTGTTGAATTAGTTTTCAAATTTGTACAAATATCCAGGGTAATTAATGACTGCCTATTCTTGTTGAATTATTTTAATGTCTGAAAATTTTGTTCTCTGTGTGTTGATAAATCAATCTATTGGATCGATTGATAATTGTTTGTTTGTTTGTTTGTTTGTTCGTTGGTTCGTTTTCTTCTTTTCTTCATCACACAATCTATTATTGCTGTTGCTGATTAATAAATGTCAAATCAATTTATTAATCATAGTATATAGAGAAAAGAAATGAAATTATGTATAATGAATTGAAAACATTTAAAAAGATCTAAATTATAAGTGATATATATGTATAAATTTACCGCTGAATGGTAATATTTGTAATACAGCTAATAGATTGTATATTGTATTGATTACTTATTTCAGACTGTTAAATAAACTCCCGGTTGCGCAATATCATCGATTGATTGACGTTAGACATTAACACCTTTGGATGCCGGCTCAGTGATCTAGGGGTTAGGCGTTCGCACGCGAGCGTCGTGAATGCGCTCTGCTCTGATGCGTCTCATATTAAGACGAAACAGTTGTCCAGTGTTTCTAAGTTTCTAATGGTGATCAAACGTTGATCAATTCATCGTTTCAATGAAATTTCAAATTAATATTATTTTAAAATGTGTATTATTCATTTTATTCATGATGAATTTATTAGGTTCTCTAAAATTCTAATCTTCTCAATTCATCATCACCTAGATCTTTCTCGTTCTAAAATTTATTTCACTGAATCATACTTCTTAAATAATTTCTTCGTATCCTAATTTTCACCATTACCGCTCATGCTTCTACTATCTCTACCACTATGGGATTTGAAGTGACAATTGTGTCTTTGTGCTAATGTAGTATAGCAGCCTGACCTTACGTACGCACGTACGAAGTTCTACGTTGTAACTGACTGACTGACTGATGAATTTATTGAAATGTTCAAAAAGAAATGTTCGTAGTGATGATAGTTACACGTTAATTTATTAATGTAATCACCAGTTTGTAATCAAAATCTATTAATACAGCTTTCCATAGGACTTTGAATATAATAATGACACGAGTCTCCATTCTCTGTCTCCTCTCCCAAATTCTAAGTTTCTGAATTCTTCATAATTTTTTTGATTCAACAGTTTAGGTTTTCTTGTCAAATCGTATCTTCGATGCCTTATCGTTTCTCCTTTCCACTAATACTGTTGCTACTTTTACCATCTGGGATTCGCTCTAACAATTTCATTTCTCCACGGACTGCCTCGACGAACTATGTTTTCTGACGTAGGAGAAAGCTAGGGGCGGCCAAACCAAATCCGTGAAGTCACTGACAAGTGGACTGAGTCATGTTGGCAGATGTAGGCTACCTGGTAGGGATCCGCGAGACGAAAGTCATCAATGGTTAGAGACCTTGAAGGACATGACTCAAAATCGTCTGTAATGGTGCAAGTGCATCTCTTAAATTCTAACCTTCTGAATTCCTCATCCTCTCTATCTTTCTCTTTCCCAACTTATCTCATTGAACTATGCTTTTAAAATCGTATCTTCGAACCCTGATCTTCTGCATTACTGTTAATACTTCTACTATCACTATCACTCTTGAATTTGAACTGGCTGTTGCGTCCCTGTGCTGATGCGGTATGGCAACCTGAAACGATGTACGTACGTACGATATTCTGCGTTGTATCTGTCTGTGTGTCTTTCTCCTAACTAATGTATATATGTGTATATATATATATATATATATATATATATATATATATATATACGTGTTATATATAACTGAATAACTGATAATGTAGAATTTCTTATAACTCTGTTATGGTTCTTTGGAAAATGTAGATATAAATTTCATTGTTATAATAAATTAGAGTAATTTTACGTTGTGCATTGTGTCTTTATTATTGATAGTGTTGATATAAAACAAATACCTGTGAATCTACCTTTACAAATGACTAAACCAATAAACAAGTTACTTTGAACAGTTATATATGTGTATATCTAATGACAATATTAGTTACATTTATGATATTGTCTAATTAATGTATTTACATAGTGTATAACACCTATATGCTCTAATTAGAGAAGTGACAATGATTATTTTGTGTGTATATTTCTTACATTTTTCTAAATTTGGCACATCTTGCCCTCATTGCATTAATAGTCGTTTCGTTTTATGTTAATAGATTTCATTCTTTTTATTTAACTAATAGATTTTACGCATTAATTATGCAAGTATTACCTTGAAGATTGTACTTGGATGAATTACAGATAAAAATAGACAAGTTGACCGCTGCATATTATTTTAACGA